GCACGCGATTTATGAGGGCTTTTGTAACCGCATCTACAGGTATATACAGATAGGCTTATATACTGTAAACAATTTTGCGACATACCCTTGCTATTGACAGTTTTGAAATATGCCGGCGTCGCAAACAGTTTTACAAAGCACCAGTATTGTAAACAATTTTGCTACTTACCGGTACAATAGTCAATCTAATTACGTACCGGTACAGTGACGGACCAGTCATGTAATTAATTGAAACTTGGAATCTGTGTGGTATTAAGTTGAATGCTCGAAACGTATTTCGAAATAGGTTTGACAAGAATTTTGACCGTGACTGTACTGTAAACGGGTTTGCAGCATACCTGCGCTGCAACTGATTTAGTTGCGCGCCGGTACCTTAAACTATTTCGCAACGTACCGGAAGGTGGGGCCGAGGATGGATCCGCTGGCGTGTCTCTCGGCGATTCCGGCGATGAAGGGATCAATGTCGTCCACGGAGCGGTAGAGCAGCTTGAACGTGTTGACAACCTGAACGAGGGAGAACGGAGTTAGAAGGGTAACTCAGGGAGCCGCTGTTTTTTTTGTCTTTCTCAGCATTATGATTGTAAGCACACACGCATACGCACACACAGACGTACACGAAATGAAACACTGCCACGTTAATAGCAAAATAGACACACACATACACGTGTGTGTGTGTGTGTGTGTGTGTGTGGTGTGTGTGTGTGTGTGTGTGTGTGTGTGTGTGTGTGTGTGTGTGTGTGTGTGTGTGTGTGTGTGATCCATCCACCGTATTCCTTCTTTAAGAGTCGGAAGTTCAGCTGACTGACCTCAGGAGAGAGCACATCGAGGAGGTCGTCGAAGGTGTTCGCCTTGGGGAGCCCGCACGCCTCCCTCAGGTGGTTGTAGGGCGCGATGGCGTGGTCTCGACCTCGCTGGATGTTCAGGGCCACCAGATCCATTCCGAAGGGCATGGTCGGCGTCTGTGGGGGACGGACGACGGAGGCAAATCAGAACTTGAAAGTGTAATTGACATGAGAGAATGATGCTGGTGGAGATGATGGTTATTATGGAGATGAAGATGAAAATAGAGCTAAACAAAGAAGAAACAAGGCATCAATAATAAACGTTGAAAAGGTACAAGGGGCGAAAGGGATATCCAGGAGCCGGGGATTCATTTAACCTTTATAATAATAATAATAATAATGAAATTTATGAAAAGGTTTGCCTGATAGACCTATGGTATGATATATCGTAGTTTTGTCGCCAAAAGAGTTGAAACCACTATATTGTACAAAATACAGTTTAAGAAACATAATTTTGAATAGGACCCTAAAATGCATATAAAGGAAACTATTAGAAGAGTCATTTGAAGCAAAGGATTAAGGTAAACCACCTCTTCATAAAAAAAGCAAATATAGACACTTTCCCCGCACACCAACATAAAAAACGCTCGTCTTTAACCGACAATGTCATAGAAACAAAAATGACCCGAAACCCAACTACGAAAAAAGAGTAGCGGGCTTAATCGAGCACTGCCCAGCTTTACACTCCATGACTCCATGACGTCACAAGATCGCCGTTATTTGCGTCCACTCACCTTAATCTAGCACTGCCTAACTTTACACTCAATTTCACGATATCACTGTTGTTTACATTCACTGACCTGGAAGAGCCTGTTGGTGAGCTCCGCCGAGACGAAGTTGTCCGTCATCTGGATGGGCTGCGTGGCGAGGCCCCTCAGGAACTCGTCCAGCTTCCCGGGTGTGTAGAGCAGCTTCGGGTTGTTGAACTGTTCGTGGAGTTCTAGGGTCTCGGTGCGGTGTCCCTGCTTGCCAAACAATCTGCAGGTCCATGAGATTTCAAGTGTGAGAATGCGTCGATATTATTATCATTTTCGATCATAAATGCATTTGTGTTCGCGTGTGTGAGCTTATCTCTGATCTGCCTGTTTATCCATCCATGTATGATGTATATCAATCAAAATATCTATCAGTCTATTTATATACATTTGTGCGAAAACGAACGGAGTCGAGAACTCACTCTAGCATTCCCTGGACGAGCGTGTGGCCGAACCTGAAGGCGGCCGTGGCGAACTCGTTGAAGATGGCGGCGTTGAGGTCGTCGTCGTAGTCGTTGGAGAAGCCCTGGCGGCGCGGCAGGATTCCGTTCTCGGCCATGTAGTCGGTACCTGGGCGGCGAAGGGGGAGGAGAGACGACTAGTTAAATCTCATGGACATATACAACGCTTCGAACACATCAAGAACTCATCCTCAGACGAGCAAATAACCGAATGACGTGACGTACCTCCATACATGCTACACATAGAGAACCAAAGGCATACGTACCGAGGATGATGGGCAGCCATTCGTTGTAGATAATGTGCTGGTACATGGCGTTGACGATCCTTCGCGTCTCCTGGTAGATGGTTTCGTCGGACCAGTGCGGGTTGAGGCGAGCCAGCTCCCGAGCCAGGCGGTTGTGCTCCCTCATCCAGATGGTGTGGATGACGGACAGGTCGGTCTGCTCGTTCACGCGGTTGTCTCCTGTTGGGGAGGGGGAGGGGCTCGTATGTTGAATAGGTTTTAAAGAATGGAGGAATAATAGAAAGAGGAGGAGGAGGAGGAGGAGGGATGGAGGGCTGGAGGAGAGGGGAGGAGGAGGAGGAGGAGGAGGAAGGAAGGGGGTGGAGGAAGCGGTGGAGGAGAGGGGGTGAAAGAGGAAGGGGTGGAGGGTGAGAGGGGAGGGGTAAAGGAGGAGGGGGTGGAGGGAGGGGAGGAGGAGGAAGGAGGAGGGGGTGGATGGAGGGGGGTGGAGGAGGGGGTGGAGGAGGAGGGGGTGGGAGGAGGGGGGTGGAAGGGAGGAGTGAAGGAGGAGGGAAGGGAGGGGAGTGGAGGAGGAGGGGTGGAGGGGGGTGAAGGAGGGAGGGGGGTGAGGAGGGAGGATGAAGGAAGGAAGGGGTGGAGGAGGAGGGGGGGGAGGAGGGTGCATAGGAGGAGGAGGAAAGGAGGTGGAAGGGGGTGGAGGAGGGGGAGGAGGGGGTGGAGGAGGAGGGTGGAGGAGGAGGGGGTGAAGGAGGGGGTGGAGGAGGGGGTGGAGGAGGAGGGGGTGGAGGAGGAGGGGGGTGGGAGGAGGAGGAGGAGGAGTGGAGAAAGGAGGAGGGGGTGGAGGAAGAGGGGGTGGAGGAGGGGTGGAGAGGAGGGGGTGGGAGGAGGAGGTGGAGGAGGAGGTGGAGGAGGAGGAGGAGGGTGGAGGAGGAGGGGGGGGAGTAGGAGGGGTGGAGGAGGGGGTGGAAGAGGAGGGGGTGGAGGAGGAATAATAGGGAGGTGAGGAAGGGGAGGAGGGGGTGGAGGAGGAGAGGGGTGGAGGAGGGTGGAGGAGGGGGTGGAGGAGGGGTGGTGGAGGAGGAGGAGGTGGAGGAGGAGGGGGGTGGAGGAGGGTGGAGGAGGAGGGTGGAGGGGGTGGAGGAGTTGGAGGAGGGGATGGAAGGAGGAGGGGGTGGAGGAGGAGGGGTGGAGGAGGAGGGGAGTGGAGGAGGAGGGTGGAGGGGGGGTGGAGGAGGAGGGTGGAGGGGAGGGGTGGAGGAGGAAGGGATGGAGAGGAGGGGATGGAAGAGAGGGGTGAAGGAGGAGGGGTGGAGGAGGGGGTGGAGGAGGAGGAGGAGGGGGGGGGTGGAGGAGGAGGTGAGGAGGGGTGAAGGAGGGAGGGGTAGGAGGAGGGGGTGGAGGAAGGGGGAGGTGGAGGAGGAGGGGTGGAGGAGGAAGGGGTGGAAGAGGAGGGGGTGGAAGAGGAGGGGGTGGAAGAGGAGAGGGTGGAAGAGGAGGGGGTGGAAGAGGAGGGGGAGGAGTAGAAGGAGGAGGAGGGGTGGAAGAGGAGGGGGTAGAGGAGGAGGAAAATAGGAGGTGGAAGAGTTGAAGGAAGGTGGAGGAGTGGAGGAGGTGGGGTGGAGGAGGAGGGGGTGGAGGAGGAGGAGAGGAGGAGGGGGTAAAGGAGGAGGGAGGAGGAGGGGTGGAGGAGGAGACAGGAGGGAGGAGGGGTGGAGGAGGGGGGTGGAGGAGGGGGTGGAGGAGGTGAGGAGGAGGAGGAGGAGGGTGGAGGAGGGTGGAGGAGGTGGAGGAGGAGGGGGTGGAGGAGGAGGGGGTGGAGGAGGGGGAGGAGGAGGCGGTGGAGGAGGAAGAGGATGAGGATGAGGAAGAGTAAGATGAGGAGGGGGAGTAGGAGAAGAAGTAGAAGAAGAAGAAGTAGTAGAAGAAGAAAAGGTGGAGGAAAAAAAAGAGAAGGAAGAAGAAGAAGGAGAAGGAAAAGAAGAGGAGGAAAAATGAGAAGATAAAGAGGAGGAAGGAGAAGGATGAGGAGGAGGAATAGGAAGAAGAAAAAAGGGATGAAGATGAAGAAGAAAAGGGAGAAGCAGAAATAGAGACGACGACGAAAAAAGAAGAGGAGGAGAAGGAAGATGAAGAAGAAAAAGAAGAAGAGGAAATGAAAAAGGAGAAGATAAAGAAAAGAAGAAGAAAAGGGGAAGAAAAATCTAAAAAAAAGAGGGAGGAGGAGCAGAAGAAAAAAGAAGAAAAGACAGAGGAGCAGATATAAAAAGAAGAAAAAAAGGGATTAAAAAGAGTAGATAAATAAAATAATAAAAAATATAAAAGAAGCAGCAAAACGAACGAAAACGAACCCGCGAGGAAGCAGTGGAAGCCCTCGCCTCTGGACTCGCATTCTTGGGCCTCCTCGTGGGCGGGAAGGAGCCGGTTCTCCTGCACCTTCAGGAGTCCTCCGCGCCCTAGCCTCACCTCCTCCTCCTCCTCCTTGCTCGAACCGTAGACGTTGGAGGTGTCGAGGAAGTGTGTGATCTGGTTCATCTGAAGGCAGAACAAAGGTATGCTTTTACCGAAGTAGATGCTCTTAAAAGTCAAGCACACGCACGCACATACACACACACTCGAGATTACTACCTGTTGTTCTGATCACTGGATCCAATAGTTTCTCTCTTTTTTATATATCAGAAAAGTTACTCAAAATAGCAAGAAAAGAAAACTGATAATATAGTAAAGATAATGATATTAATAATAATAATAACCAAAATAATAACAAAAATAAAAAAGAAAACAATGATAAAGAAAACAATAATAATAAAGTAGGTAAACGCAACCTATCTTCCAGCTCTTCAGAAACTCGTCCCGTACCTGCTCGGCATAACCGAAGTTGCAAGCTCCTCGCGGCGCCCACATCGACCTGACGAAGTTCATGCAGCGCCTTCGGAATCTGCTGAAGAAGGGGTCGTCGGCGGGGATCTCGATGGGGAAGCAGCCCGGGTGGCGGAACGAAGGGTCGATGAAGCTCTGGGACTCGCTGCAGCACTCGATGCCGCTCTCGTTGCCTGGGGAATGGGTCGGGTTCGGTGACGGGTTTCATTTGTTTTTAGATCTCTCTCTCACTCACTCTCTCTCTCTCTCTCTCTTTCACCCCCCCCCTTCCTCCTCCTCCTCTCTCTCTTTGAGTCCAGACACTTTATATCAGATTTGATGACTGCAACTCTAAGTTCTGTCGCTACACAATTGACAGCAGAGCAAACAGAGCGAGAGGCGCTTCTCACCGAGCCTGAAGATGGGCGTGTGAGCGAGGTCGTGGTCGATGAACTGTCCCCATTGCATCACGGACAGCGTGAGGTCGAGCTGCGGCCGGTCTGCGTCGACGACTGTGCTGATGCTGACGACGCGGGCGGAGGGAAGAGGGCTGCCGTCGCGGCCTTCGCGGGGGCGGAAGAGACCTGCAGGCGGTGGAGGAGGAATGCATTGAAATCACTTTCGGCTTCGCCAGCAAGAAACAGCGCACCTCCGGCTGACATGAGCCAGCTTTGTCAGGTTTTGCTCGTTTTGCCGCAGGCGGGGAAGAAGGGCGATGTTCTTTTCAATAACATGGCAATCGGTGTTATTCATATTGGTGAATAATAATGCAGTACGATGTATTATCATAACTGATACTGATACTGAAGTACATCCAATATCACGTTATCAATGACTATAAAAAAAACCGAACTTATATTGTTTCTTACTGTTACATGCAACACTTTAAATCGTGCTTTAAAATGTACATACTATATTTCACAATCTACGTTTTCATATAAATCTTCAGTGGACCTTTCCTTGGCTATCTCTTCATTCAATAAACTCATGCAACACTTGTCTAATTTTTCGCTACTCGCTAAATCATGTGAGCGCTCTCTCCTTATCCACTTCGTATTTCTTTCCACTTCATTCTTTTTTCTTCCGGACAAACGTTCATTCAGTACGACTCACCGTCACTGTACTTCGGGGGTTTGAGTCTCTGGAAGGTCGTCCTGGCTTGACCCCAAGTCGGGTTGTCGAGGTTGTTGCAGGACCCGTCGATGGTGCGGTAATACTTCTCCTTTTCGCCGCAAGGTGGCGGGGCAGGGCACGTGCTGGATATGATGGTGTCTCTCACGCTGAATTGCTGCAGACCGTATCCTGCTTGCTCGGGGGTCAGACGGAGCCTGGGATGAGGAGAGAGGAAGGTAATCAAATGGATAATGGTTGCCAATTTTTAGTTTTCTAAATCTTCTTATATATATTTTTTAGTATATAACATGTACTATACTCTCTTCTCCATATTCAATTTCAACTCCAACCGCCCATGTATGCGTAAAAACGGAAGCACACACTAACATACTATATCTATATCTATCTATATTATTATATATATATATAAATATTATATGCTATATATGCATATATATATTATATATATATATTATATTATATATATGATATATATATATATATATATATATATATATATATATATATATATATATATATATATATATATATATATATATATATATATATATATATATGTGTATGTGTGTGTGTGTGTGTGTGTGTGTGTGTGTGTGTGTGTGTGTGTGTGTGTGTGTGTGTGTGTGTGTGTGTGTGTGTGTGTGTGTGTGTGTGTGTGTGTGTGTGTGTGTGTGTGTGTGTGTGTGTGTGTGTGTGTGTGTGTGTGTGTGTGTGTGTGTGTGTTGTGTGTGTGTGTGTGTGTGTGTGATGTGTGCTGTGTGTCGTGTGTCTGTGTCTGCATGTATGCATAGCAGTGGCGTACAGATGTGGGGGTGAAAGGGTGGTGTTGCATCCGTGTTTACATTTTCAAAATATCTCTTTTTCTCAGTACTAGGCCTTATACTTGAGTCTTCGTGGTATAAAGTCAAGGAGTTGGCCCGGACATCACTAGACCTCTGCACGCCACTGATGTTTGTATGTTTGCATAATGTTATTTAGAATCTTTCAACATACGCAATATTTTCTTATAGTTACCCCTAGAAATTAAACAGTTTTCTGAGAATACGTGTAATTCTCTAAAGTTGGGGTAACTAATCTAATATAAATTCACACTGGCAAATTCATATACTCACGCACACATACACACACACAACCACAGAAACAAACACACATAGACAGACAAACAACACACACACACATCAGACTGGAAACATTCTTACATAAGTGGGCAAGTTATTTTAAAAGTCGTAACTTGCGCAGCTGAATTTTCATTTCGTACAAGAATACGCGGTTCATTGTTCTACGACTATTATTTTGCATTAACGCAGTCAGCTGCGCCACAAAGTTTTCTAGTCTACTCTCTCTCTCTCTCTCTCTTCTTCTCTCTCTTCTCTCTCTCTCTCTCTCTCTCTCTCTCTCTCTCTCTCTCTCTCTCTCTCTCTCTCTCTCTCTCTCTCTCTCTCTCTCTCTACACACACACACACACATATATATACTGTATACATTGATTGATAGATAGATATAAAGACAGATGAACAGACACACAGATAGAGAAATAGATAGAGAGACAGTATGCGTATGCTCGTGACGCTCCTAATCTCCTCCAAGTATTTCCAACTCACTTAGTCATGAGATGGTCGCCTGCCTCCGCGTTCGTAATGGCGTCCCTGCTGAGCTTGATGGCCAGAGGCGACGTCCTGAAGAACTGCAAGTGCGTGTACTCCGGGTTCCTTGGGTCAGCCACTTCGATTCTCCTTGAGCGCAGGGACTGGAGTTGCGGGCGCGGGGTTAAGCGGAGGCAAGGGAAGGGGAGAGGGGATAGAAATATTGGTAAACACAAGAAGAATGCTTTTGTTTATTTTATGTCTGTATAACGTAGAAAATATATTCATAAATATCAAATCTAGCTGCGATGTATTGTTAAATTCATTTAGTGTTGTCATAAAGTGATCTTTTGTTAATCCTTCGGCTCCAGCTTCAATAACATCCTTGTGCCTCACCTTTTCGAGGATGTCCCTCTCCACGAGCTCCCAGAGACCAGCTCTTGCAGCCTCGTCCAGCTGGTCCTCGGTGATGGGCTGGATGGCGACCTTGATTTCAGGCTGGCTGAACAGCTGCTGCGAGTGCGCTGTGGGGAACGAGGGGAGATGAGCAATGATATTTGAAAAAAATCAGCTGTCGAAAATAGTAGCTTCACATATAAACACGCACACACACACACACACACGCACACACGCAACATTTACAATCGTTTCGTGGACTCACATAGCACCAGCTCGGGAGGGCAACAGACGCCATAGTCGCCCCCGTAGAGCGGGCACGAGTCCTTCGGCGCGATGTAGGCGAATTGGGGAGCGCAGGCCACGAGGGGCATGCAGTAGTCGCGGCCCGGGCAGCCCTTCGCTGAGGGAGGGAAAAGGAGAATGGGGCAGAATTAGCGAACATATTCTTCGACGTCTTCCCTCTCGTCCTTAGATTCACGTTCAGACAGTGAAATTAACAACTCGCAAAGAATGTGGAAAAACGACTCCGATTTGAGAAACAGAATGAGTATTCCATGAACTAGGCCTTCAGTCTGCATCTTGTAAGAAGGGAATTTTACTGCTTAACCAAGACTTCCTTACCGGGGCGTGGCGGGGAGGGGAGGTAGGCGGAGACGACGGGCGGCGCGTGTGTCACGTGGGCGTAGACATGCGGCGCCGGAGTGACGTGCTGCGGGTGGGGCAGGAAGGGCGCGGGCGTCACCGACACTCCCTTCAGAGGCGCCTTCGACACCTTGGGCGGCCGCTTGATTCCCTGGGTCGAGGAGACTTGGGTATTAGTTCCATTGTGCATGAACACCTTTGGCTGAATTCTGAACACTAATTGCAAATGAGTGCTTTCGAAAGGACATAAGACGACATGGCTTATTTTGTGTATTTCCACTTTTGTTCCTTTATCACGAAATATTGCTTTTGAATATTGTATTACGTTAATCATCTGTATTTTTTTCATTCTCTCATTTTAACGACCAGTCACAAGCAAGAAGGTGCTTACAATGACATGCGTAAAGCAAACCAAAGATGATTTTGCAAATCTACAGATCCCGACATGACAGAGAGGCAGACGCTGCACATCGCGTGCATGGAGGAAGCTGACTTCGCGGATTCATGTCTCAAGTTCATCTCAGTGACGACACTGTATTGCATTGGGAAAGAACTCTCGAAATGCACTTGAAGGAAAACGGAGCCGGGGCTGTCAGCAAATGCAGACTCTACGAGTACTTAAGATCATATTGTGACAGACACAGTTGTTCTCTCTCAAGATTCGTGTTTGTTTGCATTTTGAGCATATATGTTATGCAGTTATGCATCGTGAATCACGTACATAAACTGATAGCGTACATATAAACGGAAACGATGTTCCTGATCATCTGACATCAATCACAACTTTCCACAGCTCTGTTATCTGCAAAACTGGATAATTCACTCTTTTCATTTACTGCTGTGTGACCATCGCTACTTCAAGACAGCAATAAGGCCCGAAGTCCGACACTATCGCTTACCGTGGTCTTGGACACAGTCGCGTGGGCCGGTTTGCGACTCGACTGCGACAGGTGATACGTCTGCGGCACGGGCGTGACGGGCAGGGTCGGGCTGGCGGCGTAGACCGAGTAGGGCGTGAAGTAGGCGGTCGGGACATGAGGGGGGTACACGCTGTAGGGGCTGAGGAAGCAAAAGGAGGAGCGG